GACGGCCAGCTCTAGGAAGGGTTCTGGTCGTCCCAAACGTCTTCCATTTATGGATTATGGAGGCCACTGTGCTCTTGGGAACCTTAAGTGCAGCAGAAATTTTTTTGTAACCTTGGCCAGATCTGTGCCTTGCCACAATTCTGTCTCTGAGCTGTTCAGGCAGTTCCTTTGACCTCATGATTCTCATTTGCTCTGACATGCACTGTGAGCTGTAGGGTCTTATATAGACAGGTGTGTGGCTTTCCTAATCACGTCCAATCAGTATAATCAAACACCGCTGGACTCAAATGAAGGTGTAGAACCATCTGAGGGATGATCAGAAGAAATGGACAGTACCTAAGTTAAATATATGAGTGTCACAGCGAAGGGTCTGAATACTTATGACCATGTGATATTTCAGTTTTTCTTTTTTAATAAATCTGCAAAAATGTCAAAAATTCTGTGTTTTTCTGTCAATATGGGGTGCTGTGTGTACATTAATGAGGAAAAAAATGAACTTAAATGATTTTAGCATATGGCTGCAATATAACAAAGTGAAAAATTTAAGGGGGTCTGAATACTGTATGTGTCTATGTGAAAATACTGGACTTATTTTCTAAAGAGAACTAATAATCTGATGACCTACTATTTACAGTATACAAAACAGAAGGGCATTAGACAAAACAATGATAAATGGCTTAATCTGACTTAATTATGATTATAAACACTGTTACAGATGAGGATCATATTAGATTCATGACAAGATGAAGACAAAGTGCATCAAGAAAAGCACAACAAGTTGGATGATACTGACAACGACATGTAGCACAGAAACTAGCCCGTGCACTGAGGGGTGATGAATTACACTAATACTGACATGTAATCTACACTGTTTGTTTTGGTGCACTCACAAGATTGCATGTGACACAATTTACACTCCTGCCTGCTGTTTCATACCATTCCACTGATCTACAGGAGGCGGTAACATACCAATGCAACACTGTGCTAGCTACATGTAAACAATGCAGGATTTCAAACACTTAAATATGAGAAGAGGAACACAATGAGGAAGGAAATGCATCCAGAGCATTTTGTTTGTTAGGCCTCAAGGACACATGCAAAGTGCTTAGGTGAGTAGCACAAAAGAGAACAATGCAAACAAAAACTGTGTTTGCAGGAAAACTCTCCAAGGCAATTTTTAACAGTTTGTCGTTTTCCATAAAGTGTTCTCGTTATTTTATCTGCCCACTGTAAATATCCAACACAGTGTGAATAAAGCTTGTGAACATTAAATATCAGACTTGTTCAGATTCAGGATTTCTCAGTGACAGTCACCTCTCATGAGAGTCAGAGCAGTGCCTTTGTAGACTCCTCTGATCCCTGACTCTCTGTACAGCTGTTTGACACAGTCCATGGGCCCTGCGTATTTCACCTGCCCGGTTGTTGCCTGAATCTGTAACACACAAACACGCACTATTTTACACTCACTGTCTCTTTCTCAGGAAAAACCTCTCTGTGAGTTGAAGCAGTTAAACAACTCTGACTTTTTATTTTGTTTAACCAATGTTTTCCCAGGAAAAATCCCACTGTGGTTAACAATCTCTTTTACAAGCGTGCCCTGACCAACACAGCAACATAGCAATTTCCACACAAGAATTTGTCTGTAGATGATTAAAGAGCCTGATTGAAATAAAAGCTCTGTCTTGTGGCGTGTAGAGCCAGCAGCACAAGGGTCATCTGATTAGTATATTTGCACAAACACATGCAGTAACCTCTGACCTGTAAGAGACATTTGATTCGCTCTCCAGGAGCCATGATGGCCGTGGTGAACACACCAGACAGCATGCCTGCAGCAAACAGCTGTGGATACCTGCAGAAGAGTGAAAGAGGCAGATGAACAAGAGAGTCTGGAACATTTCACTGCACAGTACAGCCATCTACGACAGAGCAATCGCCTACGTAAGAATATCATCGGGAGTTCTCTGTTGCAGTTTCTTGCCCAGCCCGAATCCAAAGAAACAGATGGCAAACATGGGTGTGACTCCAATGATCGGGGCTGCCATGCCTTTATAGAGCCCTTTCACACCCTGTAAGGGAAGAGGACAAATGAGGATATGTTAGATTGAGGAAAGATAACAAAGCTGGAACATATTTTATCCTATTTTTTCTTGAGATGAAGGCAGCATGGCTCCTAACCTCTTTGGCTAAGGTCTTTTTGAAACAATCGATGGTTCCAGCATAGAAGAGGCTCTCTCCAGGTTTTGGTTTGGGCTGAGTTTGTAAACGCACCTGAGAGAAAGAGATTGGGTTTGTACTGATCTCTCACACACAGAATCCAGCATTACAGCTGCAGCTTTAAACCCTCAGTAATCAATCACTACAGTTTTCTCAGAGGAGAACAGTATAGAGTAGATGAGACAGTGCTGTTTTATGTAAAGGGTAATCCCACCAAACACCGATTTGAAGTTAAGGTGCACAACAAAAGTTTCTGTATTTTATAAACTACCATTTCTTGTTATGTAGACACTGACACAGAAGTACTGGCAATAAACTGGCACTGGCTAATACACTGGCCTGGATATTTGATCAGTCTAACAAACATAACTGTACGGGCAATGCAGTGATAATGGATGGCAACAGTTCCGCATTCACGTGCGACCTCTGTCAGTGGTGAGCTGAGTTGCATGACTGCAGGAGCCTGAGCGACTCGCTACAGTTTTACACTAAACGTACGAATAACCGGATGCACCCTCTTGGCTGTTTCCTAATGCAAGACACCGAAACAACGAAGACACACGTTGTGCACTAATTACTTTAATGGTGTCGAGTGGATGTCCAGCGAAGACGAGGCAGACACCTCCAAAACCCCCAGCGAAGAAATTCTTCAGCGGACTGATCGGCTGCGGCTGTTTGGACATTTTTATTTTCCAGTCTGGAAGAAAGACACATCAGCGGAGAATGAGTGAAACAGAAAAACAGAAGAAACTGGGACACGCCGAGAAATAAAAAACAAACAACGAATATCTCACCTGCTCATCCGTAGCCCGGTGTACTGCTGTCACTTTTTTTTTTTTTGCAGGACCTTTCACCCACTTACTAAGCCGAACGGGTTTAACAGGTACACAGCTCTGGTACGTCGCGGTTTGGTGTCCGGGTGGAAATACTATGAGTCTCAACAACAGATTTTACCTTGAAACTTGAACAACTTGTAAATAAATAATCAATAAATATGTAAATTAATAAACCACACACACTATATATAGGCTGATATTTATGAGAAGAAACAAAACTGCATTTCATACACATGAAGTAAAGCTGAAGATAAAATGCACTGATTTAAATTTAAATGCAAAATCAGAATACAGATTCTTTGACATTATTATAGCAGTCTTTTACTGTCCTTCATTTGTTTATAGAGCAGCGCCCACTTGCGGGTGCCCACGGGTGTTAGTTATTGAAGTTTTTTTTTAAATTATTTATTGGCTGTATATTACATTTTTCCATCATTTTAGCACAACCTGTCCACATAACTTTGAATTAACACAACTTCCCTTTCAACAAACCACCAGACCACACCCACTGTTAAAATATAGCTTTATTAGTTTCATTATAGCGCAGTCGTAGCACTTTTGCAGCCAATAACAATGGAAAGGAGACGCTTATCTCTTTCTCTCACACTCTGTAACCAGACACAAATAATCAATGAATGAACTAAAATTTGATATCATATCTGGATTGTGTCCACCTTCTCAGAAACTAGACAGAAGAGCCATGCCAGGAACAAAAACAGAGAAGTTAAAGTGTAAGATGGGAGAACATCATTGAACATTATCACAGAGAAGAAACAAGGAAAGTATAAGACCACAAGGAGATAAAAGAAATGCCCTATATTTCCTCTTCCTTGTCACAGAAGCATTAGATGATGTGAAAATCAACAACACTGGCTAATGTTTTATGTTTTCAGACAATAGCTGTGGAACACATTTCCCTCACATCAGCCAAGACTCAGTATTTTACAGCAAGTTGTTAGAAAGCCTTATTGCAGCACAGTTAGGCTCAATGTGAATGCAGCATACGGACAAAAACCCATCAATCCAACTGACATTAATCTGTAAACCGTCATCTGACTTCAAATGCTTAAGAAGCTTTGCATATGTGCAGTGCAGAGCGATCACCTTTAAATGTTTGAAAAGCAGTGACGAGACAAAAGTACCAGACTGAGAAAACTGCAGAGTCACAGGAGAGACTCAATATGTAGCAGCGAGTTACTCAGCTACAAGCTTGATACTGATAACACAGGTCAGCGTGTGCTTTTTCTCACAATGATACTACACTAGCTCAGCTTGTTCTACTTGATTCTAATTTTAAATATGATGAACGAGGGGGGTGAATGGCAACACACGGTAGTTTGGTCCCTCTATAAAGGGTCAGAGTATTCCCACAGCAGTTTGTGTAATGGCACTGTTATTTGACCATGAGCTCAAATCTGCTGTTTCATCACAAAACTTTACTCTAAAATCTATTTGGTTAAAGTTATTTTGGTTAGAATAAGGTTTCATCGTGGATGCTGTTACTCTATTTTCAAAATACTTGGACTATAGTTAGCTCAGGTATGATTTCTAATCTAATTAGAAATTACAATTCACTGTGAGAAAAGGTTATATGTAAGGTTTGGCATATATTTGGGGAATTTTTAATCTCAGAGTTGACTAAACCTTACAGGTTTTTGTGTATTTGTCATATTTTTCTCTTCTTGATGCACACCACAAGTAAAATAAAACTCATCTGAGAAGGGAAAACCTGTACAGGGCTGGCACAAATGCATCAAACATCAGTTCTTCTTCTTTTAAGCTTTATTGTACCTCCCTGCAGCAGATGGGAGCAGACTACAGTGTGTGAGCATTATACTGATATGATTAGTTCTGGTTGTCACAGATCTGGGGGAACTCCTTGTAGATCTGCTGTATAATTAGCTTATCCATCTGTTTTGCTGTGGCACTCCCTTCGTCCTCTCCCGGATCATCCTCCTCCCTGAGAATCCTCTGCAGCGTTCCCTGGAGGTCAGACAGGCGGTGCTGGTGCTCCAGGTAGTCAGTCGAGTTCATAATGGAGTGCATGAGGGAGAGATACTCCATCCGCAACTTCCCAGGGAGGGGAGAGAGAGCAGAGAATCAGACATACTCACAAGTAGTTTATATATCAGAAATAGCATGGGTTGCAAGTAACTAAGTACATTTACTCAAGTGCTGTACTTAAATACAATTTTGAGGTAGCTGTACTTTACTTGAGGATTTCCATTTCAGTTATTTTTACTTTTCTCCACTACAGTTTAGAGGGAAATGCTGTACTTTTTACTCACTTCATTTATTTGACAGTTTTAGTTACTTTGCAGATTCAGATTCGTAATGCAAAATACTAGATATTAACAAACACTATATTCACTTTTGAAACTTTGTTGAACAAACATGAACTGAACCTGTTCACAACAGCATCAGATTCAGTAGAGTTTAAGTATATTTAAAGCATGAACGTAGTACTTCATCTTAAGTAAAGAATGTGAAGTGATACTTCTACTTGTAGTGGAGTACTTTTTTGAAAAGTACCAGCTCCATTGAGTATTGACTTTGTGTCCTTGTACCACCTCTGAGAAGCAGCATCATGAAATTCTAAGAACAGCAGCTGTGCAGTGCGTCAGTGTCTCACCTTGTCTCCAGGGGAAAGGTCAGATATTTGTCGAACAGCGATGTCAATCATCACCATCATGTCAGTGCGGTAGAAGATGTCTGCTGTATATCTGCTGGCAAAAACATCCTGCAGAAACTTGAGCACAGAGTGCGGTGCAGGCGGGGTGTGTTTGAACATACACACAGGGTCGTCTGAAGAGGAGAAAACGTGAGTAAGAACGTGAAGAATATAAATGAGGCCACTCAGAGAATATTTATGAAATGTGACAATCATTGGTATTTTACCGCCTCTGTTCAGAAGCAGCAGCACTTTCTCTGACAGGATCTTAACATTTTTCTTCTTAAGCTCCTGCATTATCACGTTGTTGCTGGGTGCTGGGTGACACAGACAGGACACAGGCAAACAGCACAAATAAGTATTCATAGTAGGCAGTTTTCTACCTGAGCTGAACCAGGTATAAACAAATCAGAAGTATAGAGTTCTGCCCTGCAATACTGCTCCTATAGGCCTATGATAGTGTGCCAGGTTGTACGACACTACAACTACACTACTTTCTGTTTTATTTGGTGCACATTTGGAGCCACTGAGCTGGAGTTAAATTCCTTATGTTTTACCCTACTTGGCAATAAAGTTTATGATTGATTGAATAATTAACTGATCACTTTTGCTTTTGTTGCTACAACAGATCAGTGTGTCTGCTGTGAGGATGTCCTTACTCGTGTGGTGCAGGTTGAAGGACAGCAGGAGGTTGAGGAAGATGTCAGGCAGCTGCTCTGTAGGATCAGAGGGATGGCCATCCTCCACCACACCCAACAGGAACTCAACAAAGTCAGCATTCAAGTGTTCTGAAAGCAGGGAGGGTCAGGGGGGATTATCCTGTTAATACTCATAATATCCTTTTAATGCATGTATCTCAGGCAGATTTGTTTATCTTGGTAAAACCTTCCATAAGCTGTCATGAGATGGAAAATGCATCGTCCTGAAACTAAAAACAAAGTTGATTTGTTCACCAACAAAGCTCTGTGTTTATGTGCCTAGCATCATATGCAGAAATTAAATATTCTTATATTATATGCCACTGAAATGTTATTATTTTGCAGCTGCATTATATAATATAAGAACGACTCATCCTACCATAGTGACGATATGGCAGCTGTTCGCCCATTGAAAAGATCATAGTCAGTACCAAGGCTGTGTAACACATCTTCTGATGTTCTGAGGAAAGAAGAGCAGACAAAAACAGTAACTCAGAGTACCTGTGGATACTTCAAGTACTTACAAAAGTAAAGATTTTCACCTTGTGTGTCAGTCTGTAGGTCTCTGGCCAGCTCCATGGGAAGGATAGAGTTGAGGAGGGTGGAGATGAGAGCAGCGTCCAGGCTGCACATCGCCCCGAACACTTTGAGCAGCAGCAGCCGCAATGACACACGATGCTCCTGCACAGTCACATGACGGCAAGAATGAGCTAACATCAACCAAAATGTATGCTGAACATCCCCACCACACAGCCCCCATTCAGACCATCTTTGAGTGTCTTACAGTATTTAAAAAGTCCTTATTCAGTGGTATCAAGCTGGTATGCAACTAAACCAATAAAGACAATAAGAAGATCATAGTCAGTACTATTATTATTATTATTATTATTATTATGTCTTTCTATCTGATAATATGAAACCAGAGAGAGCACATTCTCATAGTCATTGGCCTTGCACATCCTCTTACACACCACTGGATCTGCATCAGTCTGAGAACAGAAAAATTGATTTTTAACAGCACTGACATTATTTAACATCATAACTACAGTAAGCAAATTCATAATCTGTTCTACAGTCATGGGCCCTGGGTACACCACTAGATTAGGAAGCCTATTTACAACGCATCTGAACATCCCAACCCTAATCTGAGTGTCAGTCGGGTCAAGTGGAGGGTTTACCGACTCAGTCCTCATCCACACTGTGGGATGTGTAGAGCCTCTGTGATCAAACATGTCTGGTTGTGATAACACCACATCCAGACAGGTGCTGTGCTCACATCACAGACTCAATAAGCATTAATAATGAAAGAATATCAACTTGAAAACAGTTTTGTCCATATAAACTTTCTTTCATATTGAATTAGTAGGTACAGTACTTGCTGAAAGAACTTCCCCTTTGCATGTTTTTTTTTTGTCTGTGCATATCAACTTTTAAATTCAGGCAAGATGGCTGAAATCAATCTCCTGATATTAATATGTTTTTCCAGTATCACTATGCATCACATTATGGCGATAGTAAACAAGTTAGGAATATCCATTTATCGCAATTCAGTAGTAGCCTGTTTCACTGTTGTTCATTAGGCAAAACACAATATGATGAATTATCACACTCATATTTTGGATCATAAGTGTTCTGGTAAGATGTCTTCTAGTTTGAGTATATTTCTGACTGAACTATCTGTGTGCGTCTGACTTTACAGGTATGACACAGACGGATGCCATCTGACGCTTCATCGATCAGAAGACAGGCACCCTGCAGATGGATATGCTACAGGAAACAGAGGCCACACACAGTAATAGCCCACTGCGTCATACCAGTATCTTCAGCAGCTCCTCCAGGTAGCAGGCGATCAGAGCGTGGTCTTCATGAAGTGCCCAGCTACGCTGCTGGGAATCTTCCCGGTGGCGGACGAGGTCACTGAAGATCACTTCCAGTCGCTGCTCATCATGACACACCTGGCCCTGTGGCAGACCCGAACTAAAGTCCTACAGAAACCAAGAGAATTTTAAATATATTTTAGACATTTACAGCAGGACAGTGTAGGATTTGCTGTAGCTTTAGCTAGTAATAGATTAGTAATAGATTTTTTGGCCACCTGGGGACCAAACTGTGATAAACTGATAATAGCTAACATGTTAGCAAACAGTTGCTTATTTACACATCCAGAAGATACAGAGAAACATTATCATTCATTTGGACCTGCATTTCCAGCCATCTAATAGGTCTAATCTTCGCTCTCCTTTTAGCTCTCCTCCAGTCTCCAAAAACTCCTAAAAATGTTTCTCCTTATGCTTCACTATATTAGCACACTAGCTAATGGCTAACATTATTTTTCAGTGGGTTACTGTGGGCTCATCTGGGCTTTTTTGTTTAACAGCTGTCTGCTGCTACTAAAAACAGCTTGATGAGAGCAGCGAGCATGAAAAACCAAACAATACAAAAAAAACCCCTGTAAACCTGCGGACCATAAAACTAAGCAAAAAACGAAACTGAGAGATGCTAAAAAAAGCCTGAACTGCAGAGTCAGGTGCTCTAGTTGAGTGTCTCATATCTAAAAGCACACCAACGATGCTGCCAGTAGACCACAGAGCATCTCTTTACTTAGATGAGCTGGGTCAGACGATGGAGGCAAAACCTTGCTCTAAATGCTGTTTGCACTGCTCATTACCAAGAAGAAAAAGCTGAAATATCTGCCAGTTATTTCATGCTTGGATGAAACTGCAAAACCTGCATTTAATAACAGGAAATGAGTGAATGATACTGTGATTCCTGTCCCTCTTGTTTAAAAATGACTGAGTAATGTTAGATAATGCAGAATGAGCTATAACATCCTCCTTTAAGCTGACAAGCCTCCAGGATGCTGAATCCACATGATATAATGAAAACAAATCTGACCTTGCTCTCCACCAGTGAGAGGAGAACTTGCTCCAGAGCGGAGGAGGCCTGAGGTAAAGCGGTCTGCAGATGGCCAACCACCACACCAACAGCTACCCGCGACAGCTCGTAACTCAAGTCGGTGTTCTTCCGTACCAGCTCGATCAGTTCAGCCCCAATAGTCATGGGAACCGGCTCAGAGCTAGTGGGGCTGCAAGGTGGGCTTTCAGCAACAGAAAGGGGGGCAACAGGCCAATCGCTTTCCAGCTGGTCCTCCACAGCAGGCTGTGAAGAAGGGGTGGGCTGGGGAGGCTGCGGAGCTGGGCTTTTCTTTGCAGGAGCTGGCTGAGGAGGAGAGTCAGAGTGCAGCGCGTCTGAAGGTGGCGCAGGGGCCTTCATACGGGATGGCACAGGAGGAGGGGGGGTGCTGGAAACACTTGGCAAACTGCTATCCAAGGAGACCAGAGAGCGGGAGGAGCCTGACTCTAAAGAGGTGGTGCTGATTGAGAGGGAGGGGGCAGGGGACGGAGGAAGCGAGGACACTCTGGAGGGGACCTCCGGTTCTGCTAAAAGAGAGGGGGAGCTCCAGTTACAGATAGGAGAGTGAAGAGGAATGACCTGACTAAGAATAGAGTATGTTTGTGAAGTGTCGAGCTGCAGCAGGTAGCATCAGTGAAACCACTCCACTGTGCAACACTATCATATGTTTACAAGTCAAGAGTGGAGGGATTATAGTGCGTGTTCCTGCTCCTGTTCACTGACCTGGACGTCGGCTGTTTCTCTGTTTTTCAGGGGGAGGAGGGGTGATCGGCGCTGCACGCCGAGGCTGAGGAGGCACCTGGAGGAGGGAAGGCAGGCAGGGCTGGATTACCAGCTGGGTAAAGCAGGCAGCTGTCCACAGACCCCAGACACAGAGGGGCCCCAAAAGCTTCAGGTCCACTGTCATATCAAATGAATTTTGGTGATCTGGCTCATTGCAGGTGTGAATTTGCACCAGTGGAGAACAGTATTTTGTCCACCCAACAGTCCAAAAACCACATATCACATATTCAGTTTACAGTGATACAAAACAGAGAAGATCACACGGGAGAAGCTGGAACTGTGAATAGTGAGAAAGTCCAGCTTCTACCATGTCAAATGTCATCAGTACAAATGCAATCTTGACCTACTGAAAAACAAGAGCAAAGCCAAACATGAACAATTCCAGGATCACTATATCTTACCTAAGAAAAACACTTTAACAAAACCCATTGAACACAGCTAAAACATGACAGGTGGTGCCAACACGATCATACTGTCTGATAGAGCTGAGTGGGAGGCACTCGTGCACAGTACGGTTTGTTGTGCGCTCTGTACTTAATAAAGACTGGGAGATGATATAATGTACAGAGGTGTCAGTACAATCCCAACAGTGAATCTGAGTCCTGGGGCCCTCTAACAGTTAGTTAAAAGGGTACAATGAACTAAATATGGGGCAGCTTGGTTACATATAGTGTAGTTTTGTGTGTACTGAATGTGTTACCTGGTAAAATCCCTGTTCACCCTGCATATTATCCATGCTTCCTGATAATGGCATGCTTCCCTGTCGTCCGTAGTCTCGGTTAAGGCCGTTGGGTGGAGGAGGAGTCTGACTGAGAGATAACTCACTGCTGGAAGACGGAAGCCCCTGTTTATGACTGGAGGAGGAGGAACTCCGTCGTGCAAGGGTCTCTTTTCTGTGATGGATCAACTTTCTGTGACAGAGGGGGGGAAAAAAGGATTCATATACAGGATGATATGTTATTATGACCATGTGCATTTTCAACTCACTGTAGAACATCTCGCTGTTCCAGATTATATTTGCCTCCATTCTTTAAGGCCACATTGTGGATGCCTTCAATTGCTCTGTCAATTGACTGCAAAACTTCATCCTGCTCTGGAGCCTAGCAGACAGAAAGAGAACATGTAGAGGGTGGAGGTGAATGCACTGAATATTCATTCATATGGTAGCATGCAAAATTATTAAACTTTAAATAAAACGATGGCTTGGGGACATGTGTGGCTCCAGGCAGAACCAAATTAGAACAGTTCTATAACAAGAACAGCCTGTAGACCAGTATCACGTGTGTTTAGATTCAGCCTCATTGAACCTCCACAGCCAGTGTGATTAGCAACAACAGGAGAGAGCATTCCTGTCCTGACAGTGTTGGATACATGCTGTGACTAGTTCACTGTGAGTCTGGATCTCTGGAAAAAGGAGTCTCCCCACTGGTGAGCACGTCACTGAGAGAAAGCTGTGTTGCTACTTATTAAACAGTAAAAAGGGTAGTTGAGGGTAATTCTTCCTATGATGGTATATTGTTTACTTGCCCCTTGCTGTTGTCTTGCATGGGGATATTTACATGCACATTGAGAGCCGCTGAAATTCCTTGTGTTCAGCAAAGTTGATTCTGATTCTGACTCTGATTCTGATAAGAGCCGGTAGAGACCTGGCAGCAGAAACAGTGGCTTTCTGTGTTGGTGGCCTCGCTGGTCTTGTCCTCGGATGTGTCCTGTATTATATCATCCAATCCTGTCACATCCTTTCCTGACTCTTTTCCTGTCCTATCCTGTTATCTCCCCTCTGTCGCAGCGAGCAGATGCAGAGTAGAAGGCCATGGCCCTACATAATGCAACCCTTCCAATAATGTATGGGTTCTTCTGTAAGCACGCATTTACTTTCTAACAATAACAAGCAGCCAGTTTCAACGAGGCTGCGCTTCAGGCTATTCCACGTACGGTCACACTGGATCTGTCTCTCTCGATCCCATCAACTTAAGCCTTAACGTTACTACGCACTCACTCTTCACCTCGGGATGCTACACGGTCGCCGCTTAAATTCGCCGGGACACAGAGAAAACAAGCAGATCAAAAAGTAGCATTAACCTGTAATTTTTCGATGTATGAGGCGGGGATGTAGCCGGTTTCCCCCGAGCTGCAGCGGGACCCCAGCCACCAGTGTTTGTTGCTCCTCTCCAGGATTAAGAAGCTTTCTCCGGCCGCGAAGTGCAGCGAGTTGGGCTCCGTAGATTGGAAGGCGTACAGAGACCGGTACATGCTTTAATAACACTTTAACACGTCGATATGGGCCGAAACTGTCAGAGAAGCGGTGTCTGAAGGTATTAGACCCCGAGTTGAAAGACCTGCTCTGCTGAAGATGAGTTAAAGAGGTTCTGAAGGCATGGCCACCGCTGTCTATTTACAATGCAGATCGGATCATCTGACCTGCGGCTGTTACCAGTACACACCGCAGGGGGTGCTGCTGCACCCTGAACACGCCCCCCAGGCATTGTAATCGAAGGCAGAGTCGACCTGTTTCTCTTGATTGTTGTTGCTGTTGCTGCAAGAGTTCGCAAAATATTTAATGATCCATTTCTAAAGACACTTTTAATTTGCATGTTGTAACTTGTATATAGTCTGCTTTATGAGTAATTAAGATTTAGTAATAATCCATTAGAGAGCAATTGTATAACATCTCAGCTATGGTACACAGTACAAACTCCATTCATGTATTTCAGACTACTTGCTATTATTTAAATACCATTAAACAAGTGAGCACTGTTAAAATCAGCGGAGATTATGTTGGACCTGAAATGAACAGTGTTCGACTTTGCGTTACACGACACCGGAAACAAGCTCCCGGTGTTACCCAGAATGATGTCCCCCAGCTTGTCTCCGGTTGGTTTTTGGTTAGTTCAGTCAACATGGCCGGTGCGACTTGCGCAAAATTCCTCCTTCAGAGCTCAACACGGGGCTTTCTCTTCTCCTCCAGGGCAGGGATTCTCCTCTCAAGGTAGTTTGTCATTTAGGGCTTGTTATTTGTTTAAGATGAATAAGCTGGTTGACTTTGTGTAGGAGACAAAAAATGAAATGCTTTGCTTTCACAGAAGCTGGAGATCTTGGATACAAGTTGCATGTTGACTAGATGCAACCGACCATTGATGTCTCTTTGATTAATCCACTAGTCATTAGAGGCAAAGTTAGAACATAGGAAATAGTACAACTTTTGGCTGTATCTAAAAACAACTTCTCATGCTGTACATCTACAAAACAGTGTATGATAACAACCAATTAAATAACAAAATATTTTATTTTTGGTGTTCACACACTTAAACTGTTTATACCTGTGACAATTGATTACTTGTTTTCTGAAGATGCATGTATTGTTGCCCGTGGCAGATTAGTTATGTGTATGTAATGTGATGTTTGTTTAGCGCTGTTTTGTGCCTGATATAAATGTGATTAATCAAAACAGGGAATAAAGCAATGTTGTAGGAGATCAGAACACTGTACAGGTTTTTACCTTTTGCCGTGATATATCCTGCTCTGTCCAGCGGACTCTCAAACATTCCCATTTGGGATAATCCCTAAACTGGTTTGCAGATGAGACATCATCACTGGCTCCATCTGCTGGAGTCATTCACACTTTCTTCTGGTCAGGTCATCTTGAGTCCCCAGCTTGTGAGACAGCAGCTGAATATAAACAGCACTGCCTTGCATATCAGAGACACAGGATTGATGAACTTGCTCACATTTTTCTAATAGTCAAGATAAATTGTGAGAACAGACTGAAATTTGCTGCAGCTCTTTAGACAAGGAGAATTTTCTTCTTCTTCTTCTTCATTTATCCCTTGCAGAAACAGGCCTTAAGCTGCTGGTGGTCAGCCCTGTCCGTATGTTGGCATTATGTTTTTTGGATTTTAAACTGGGACATATGGCAGCCGTTTTGCAGTATGGCCTGTTTTTGTGAAATTAAAGTATTGCAGAATGTACAGAGATAAGGCCATAGTTACAGAGTGTGATTCAGGCCCACGGTGTTTCAGGCCACAGCCATTTTGTGTAATAATAATAATGACAATAATAAAATGATCACTCTTGTGTACTTAGTGTATTATTGGCTCTAACTTTGTTTCCATATTTTGTTCCAGCCCTTTTCTGTCCCGTGCTCATAGATTGGATCCCACTGATGATGAGATGTACCAGCGTACTACCATGTCCCTCATGCAGAAGGAGCCAGACAGCGGGGTCATGATCCACAGCTACAGTTCCGGAGGATTCAACATTAATGGCAACAAGGTGTTTGGGCCCTGTGCTGTGCTGCCTCCGGCTATCCTGCAGTGGAATGTGAGAGAAGTATCTGAAGTACCGTCACACACCATAGTTTGTTGCATCCTGTGCTGCTTTGTATTTCATTTAAACAGCTTTCTGTGTGGTTCTTACTGATTCAGATCTCTCTTTCTACAGGTGGGCAGCTATAAAGACATCACAGAAGACAGTGTATCACTCTTCCATATGCTTGAACCAAGAATAGGTAAAAATAAAAAATCACCAACATACAGATGGGTGGTAAAATCAAGAAAAGGTTTTTTGTGAGGTCAGTGATCCTTGGCCTAGTTTAAAAGAATCTGAAATGATTCATTTCATTCGGTTGTTTCTGGTGGAGCGCGTTGTCTAAGATGTAAGTCTAAAATCTCCCATAGATGTGTAAATGAGTTGTGATCTTAGAACATGATTGACATCATTTTCATTCTTGTCAGACTGTTCACTGAGCCTTCATGCCCCATATGGAAGCATCAGTATGTTTCTCCATGCAGTTATTCAAAGTTTGCCTTGAGTTCATCACTCATCTAGGTTAATACAGGGTGTGTTTAACTGTAAAAACATTTCCTAATGCACGTCACTTGTCGTTTATGCAGAGATTCTTGTACTAGGCACAGGTGCACGGCTTGAACAAATTAACCCTTCAGTCCTTACTCTACTCAGGAGTAAAGGCATCGCTGTGGAGGTGCAAGACACGGTAAAATATACCCAGAATATCAGTGTAGTAAATTTCCTGTGCTTATCCTGCAGGCATGAAAGACTTACATTAACAAAGAACTGACTTTTTTTCATTCTCATGTTTTTCAGCCAAATGCCTGTGCAACCTTCAACTTCCTGACGAGTGAGCGAAGATTAGCAGCTGCTGGTCTGATCCCTCCACCTGTGAGCACAGCCTTGGAACTAACACAGGAGTGAGTGCTGTGATGTCAACAGAAACACAGACTGAGGTCTGTGGATGGAGCTTAAATGTTTATGAATCACGTCGGGCCTGTAAGATGGTTTCCTTCTGCACAAAGCTTCAAGAGGAACAAAAACAGTGATCTTCACCTTCAGTATTTGATTACAACAGATATTTTATAACAATGAGCTGTCAGTGCTGTTGTCATCTGTTGATCTGAGGTAAACTGAACATTGAGCTAACAATTAGAGATTTTTCACACAAGTAAAAACAAATGTTTGACTATAGTTTCATGTATCAATACTGTCAGATTTTCTATCTAGGTTGGTGTGTGTGTCACAAGTGCTCAGGTCAAAGTATTCATACAGGACACAGTGATGGAGAACTACACTGTAATAATGTGCAGCTGTACTCTTGTATAGGAGTACTTGTGTGTGTAAAATATGTATTTAATGTGTTATGTATAAGAAACAGTAACTATCAGACATTTAATGTTTTCACCAACAACATAAATGTATAATAATACTAACATAGTGTGTTATTTTTTTTATTAGTTTATTTTAAACTGACACTGAGTAGTTCCTGTCTGTGCACAGAAAAGTAAACTATGATGTTTCAGCTCTTTGCCTGAGGTGCTGATGGTGACTGTCCTTCATCTGAATAAGCCTCTTTACTCTGCGTGTCTGTCTGGCCTCCTGCAGCACTGCCACCGACAAGATGCCCGTGTGCAGCATATGACATAATTCAGTTCCTTTGTTCTTCTTGCACATAAGCTCCATAGATGAGAGAATCCACTAATCCTCTGCACATTACTGTAATTTATATCACATCATCTGCCAAGGTGCCACATGCCCATCATCACTCTGAATGCTTCAGTCGTTCACATGCAGGGTACTGCTTTATTACTTTTACCTGCTGTTCCTGAAAAATAGTCAAATTAGTCTAATTATTGGTGCTTTAAAAGATATATATATATTTCCTATCAAACTGATGCCTGTGAGGTCACCTCAGTCCATGTGAAGAAATGACGTATCTATCAAAAGTGGATGAAAATGTTCTGTTACATAACACAAAAACCATATGCTTATGATCTTATATTAATAAAACTACTAGCTTCAGTAATGGTTAAAGAAATATTTTTCTCATAGCAAAACAACAGGATTAACCAAAGAGATGCTTTCTAAACTATTACTCAGCAACATTAGGTTTAGCAAACAGTACAGAGGCAGTTCTGTTCAGTTCTGTCTATGCTACATGTAGTAACGCCCTAGCTGTACAGTTGTGTTGTATAGTCATCCATTATATCACTCAGGGTCCCAGCTATTGAATGAATTGGTCCTGGTGTTGAAAGCCTTGGTCAGTCGACATCAGAACTGTGTGACTGGTGTCTCTGAGCTCCTCTGAAGTGGAGCTCTGCTCCTGTGATCCGGCGGTACAGGTCTGTGATGTCCTCACATTCAGTCTCAAAGTGGTTTGTTGCATCATAGGAGCGGGACACAAATATCTAATGAAGAAAGGACAGAGGAGAAGTCTGTCACCAACACTGCTCTCACCACACTACAATCCTCTTTTGTAGTAATCTGCTCATTACCTGACTCTTACTTCCGTCTTCATTGGGAACTAGCAAATTACTGATTGAAATGAATCTGGATTCAAAGTGGAAAGTCACCAGTTAAACATTGTGTAAAATGGAATTTAACTGACACAACCACAAAAACATAAACAGTAAAATTATCGAGGTAAAAGCATCACAGACTTTTGCATGATGGGTTCGAGGAGCTCCAGTCCAGGCTGCACCTCTTTCTCTGGGTTGCTGGTTTCTGCGGTTGCACTCACTGTGGCGATGTACATCCCCTCCGAGGCCACGTTGTGAGCATAGGACACCACAGATATGTAAATGTCTGCTTGGATGAAAGAGAAGAAGTAGTTCATGCATTATAAGTCAGTGTGATCAACCAGTCGACACACTTCCTATGCTGTATTAAATGACCTAGTAATAGTAAAATGATTACTTGACTTATTTTCAGGCTTTGACAGACCTGATTTCCTATTGAGCTGAGTCTGAGGGATGATGATTTGACAGGAGCTGGCCTCATGGGTGTTTTTAACTGGGTGATTTAATAAACAGATGACCCTTATGACACGGCCCATTTTCCTCACTCGGCTGGGAACGTAGCTGGGATCACAGATGAGTTGTTTACAGTGGAACAGCTGTTAAGAAGAGAGAAAGGACAAAGAAGCAGGACAGATAATGTAAATAAAACATAATGATTTGATTCCAAGTGATTGCTAGGAAAAATGACCTCCATATCTGGGGCAGTGTCGGGGTGCTGGGAGTTGATGGTAGACTCTGCACCAGATGTAATAAGTAATCACACAAACAGTTTTTCAGAAGCAGAAATCTGAGTAGTTATTTAGTTCTGAAGGGAAAAAAACTTCAGGAAATACTGATATATTGCTCAGAACTAGTGTCACTGTAACCTGGCAAATCCCTGTGGTAGTTCGCCCAGCCCATACACAGGGTAGAGGTATGGACTGGTGTTGTGGCAGGACAGAGACTCAGAGTACAGTTTGATCCCTCTGATGGTTTCCACACAGGGTTGGTCCAGGTAACTACAGGGACACCAGGAGACAGGGAGTGACATCAGGCAAGTTCGGATCAGCTGCAGCCGTATCTGGTTTACAAAATGTGCCTGTGACTAACCTTTCGCTGCCGTGTAACGCTATGGCATGGCCTGTGAACTCCATAACATCTAGTCCCAGGTCAAAGTGGCAGAACAGGTCCCGTGTGGTGGTTCGGTTAGGATCCATGTCCCGGTAGGTACGAGGGTTTCTCTCATCAAAGTTCAGAGCGAAGAGCAGCAGCTTCCTGAATCTTCTCTTGTCAAACATGCCCATCAGATCTGAAACATTGTTCTTTCTATTAAACAGAACATGTATTGTCTTTAAAAACGGCAACAACTTTGTGCGTTACCTGAAGCATGGGCATCTTCCTCTGTGGTGGGGACTTTGTGCACTTTTCCTGCTTTGTATACATAACTGCCTTTAACAACTTTGAAGTCCAGATACTGAGTAACCTCAGTGTGCAACAGGATTTTCACCAGCTGACCTAATACAAACAGACAGCACTCTCGTACACTACACTAAAATAATGCAAATAAACGCACTGCACAAATCACACTTCAGAGGAATGATACTAGGTTCTCACCACTGGCAAGGAAAAATTTGGGGATAAGATCGATGTTCCACTCTCTCCCATGGCCCATGAATTTAGCAGGACGTGGCACCTTAAACCTCTTGTACAGCTGTAAATGTAGAAACACAGTGAGCCATAAACACCACAAGTCATCAATGTAGCACATCTTTGAAATTTTGTGAGTCTTTTGTGTTGCTGTTTGTGTGACCACACCTCCTCAAGGGAAGAAATGGACGCGCTCTCTCCTCCATAGTAAGGATTCTTGTCGATGTGAAGAACCTTTTTCCCACTTAGAGACATTAAACCAGAGAGGACACATTCCTGAGAGAGACAAGGGTGCAGTTAGTTAGTGTGTCCCCAGAGTAAGACTAGCATAAAGATGTCAAAGTTAAACTGTTATAAGTCCTTTTACCATGATCTTAGAAGGTCTGTATGTGGATTAGCAAGACAAGTGTGAAAAATACTGCTTCACTTCTGTCAAGAGGAATTACAGTTTTGAGAGAAAATTAAAGGCCTAATTATTCACTGTGGAATAAAAAATATCCATGATGAGTGATGATTGAAAAACATGTGAAATTCTTTTATTCTCTTACCTTAAACATAATTTGGTTTGTTCATGGGACTATGGTTCTGAATGTTTTACAAACTGTAAATGAAGTACTATCCATTTCTGTGCTCTAAAGAGGCTGTCTGAGTGAATCCACAGTTCTACCCAGTAAACTGAGAGATGCGTGTTAATTCCCTCATGTGCCTCACACAGCAGGCTACATATTTTATATGAAAGACATTTTCTTACCTTAAGTCCAGTTCCAAGCACTATAATATCATATTCCTGCATTCCAACAGTCTCTGCTTGTTTCTCGCTGCCTCTCGAGCCCCAGTGCTTTTTGTGGCTACAGCCTGTTGCAATATTGTGTGTGTGTGTGTGTGTATGTGCCTGTGTGTAGAGAAGGAGAGACACAGGTACAGTATGATGATGATAAGTGACAGTAATTGCTTTGTGTTCCCCTTTACAATAATCCTCTTAAGACTGACACATACAGCAGCTGTCTGTGTGTGTCTGTCTGGTATTACTCACACTGTGAGGACTGAAACCTCTTCACACTTATACACTGTGGGGCCAAAATCATTTAATTTTAGAGTGTCAACTGAATGTACTGTCACTGTAAAGTCCCACGACGAATGAAAACAAATGTGTGTGTGTGTGTGTGTTCTTGTACTTCCTATATAGTGAGGACCAAAATGTCATTTTTTGTTTGCTACAGATTGAGGAAATCTTTGGACATTTGCAAAATTTTAGTTGGTCCTCACTTTCTGAAATAGTTTTTGAGGGTTAAGACATTGTTTTAGGGTTCAGGTTAGAATTAGGCTTAGGTTTAGGTTAGGGTAAGTGTTATGGTTACTGACTCCAAAGGAGAGCTGCACAAGAATTCCTATATGCATAGAACGTCTGTTTATGCATAAATGGCAAATAAAAATCTTGACTTGACTTGGTTAGGTATGCTGATGGTTAAGTGTTAGGGTAAGGGGTTAAGGAATGCATTATGTCAGTAAGTGTGCTCACAAAGATAGAAGTACAATTATGTGTGTGCATATGAGAGGGAGGCAGGGTTATGTATTAATACAATAAGTATTAATACAAGTATCCTGGTACAAGTAAAAGTCCTTGGATACACAAATAAAATAAATATACATAAAAAGTATATATATATATGTAAATATGCTGCTCAGGATGGTGAATCTATCATAGGCTAAGCTCTAAAGAACATGTGGTAAAATTCATGCAAAAATGAAAACAAAGGGGGATCCTGTTTTACAGTCCAGAATAATGTAGACTGTAGACTCAGAAATGGGCTGGGTCTGTTTGGACACCTGGACGGCAGAGTTGAGTGTAATAGTACAGAGACACTGGCACATCCTCATTGAGTCCAAGGAACAAAGGAAGGGGGAGAGACCTGGGAGCACTTAGAGAAACTGTTCCTACTAGTATGTACACCTTACTGTACCTGGATACTGGGAGTAAGACTGAGAAGTTGCTGAGATGTCTGCATACGGTGGTAAGAAATAAAGGACCGGTGTGAAGCAGTAACAACTAGCAGCCAGTAGAGGGCAGAAATATGCTATTGTAGCGAGTAGTCGGCCTAACCAAGGAAGAAGAATAGGAATCATAATAATAAGAAGAAGACGAACAAGAACTTGAAGTTGGTGTCATCTTCCTAGTTAGTCATCAGTGACCTGGCTAAATTTTATCACTGTGTGACTAAGCTGAAAGATTTAAAGAAATGTCTTCAGCAAATGCGGTGGGTGGTGAACCTGTGGTGCTTTGGTTTTTATTTTATAATCAATTCGTCATGAATTTGGGTACGCAGTTAAAGATAGCATGCTAATTAACGCTACCGCCTTCTTTCAGCTTCTTCAGCATTACAGTACAGCATACAGACTAACTAGCTAGCTGAGTGTGGGTTTATTTATTGGTGTTACAGCAATGCTAACGTTTTCACTTCTGATAAACTTTTATTCGTTAAAACAAGAAAATGAGGGTTAGGAAGTAAAATTAGCTCAGAATAAAAAAAGGTGTGTCAGGTATTCGCGCCTTGTGTCACATGGAACAGTTTTTGGCTAAAGTTAACTATGTACTTTCACTGAACAAGTTGCAATAAATAAAGTGAATTAATTAAAACCACCTACACAAAAGCACAGAATAAGGGAGCGGACGTTTCTCATTGTTCACAGCAGATTTGAGAATCGATCTAGGAATAATGTTCAACACCACATAGAGAAATGGTTGGTAATTACAAGGTAAAGTTAACTTACTCTGTAAAATCTTTAAACATGGGTCAAGATTATGTGAATGTATTATCAAAAAAAAAATTAAAATAAAAACGACCAGAAAAGATTGATTAGGTGTAGCTATTCGGTTAGTTAATTGTACCAGAAAGTTACTCTTGGTGTTTATTTAATATGATGAGTTTATTTGAATTTATATATGTCATTTAGTGAATAATGTGATAATGAAACAGCTACTTAATGTTATGGTGACACACACTGGGCCATCACTAGAGAAAAGTTTCACCTGTTTGTTTAGTGGAGTCAAATCTAAATCTTTGATCCAGAATGATACCTTTTTATTTGTGAGAGGAATTTATCCTAAATCACTGATTGTTCTAGTTAAAGTCACAAAAGCAATCCACATGTCCTCTAGATGTTAAGTTGTTGACATTTAACTTCAGTTGTTTTTTCATATTTATCTCAGTTTTCAGGTACAGACCCAGATCAACACAAGCGTGTATCTTCCAAGTCTAATCCTGGATTCCTGGAGCGACTGAGTGAAACTGTTGGAGGAACACTTGTTGGTGTCGGACTGTTTTTCCTCTCAGTTTATGTTCTGTTCACCAATGAGGTACTGTACACTGATTCTGTCAAACAGTTGTGCATCACATTAAAGCCCAACGCTGTTATCTTCGGGGTTAAATTGTTGTGTCGTGCGTGCTAACTGTGGCGTCTGTCTGCTCAGGGGCGAGCTCTGAAAACAGCATCTATCCTGGATGAAGGCCTGTCTCTTGTTGTCTCGTTGGGGCTTTACCCCAGCCTCGACCTGCAGAACAACAACCGTTTAGTTCACCTGTCTGCACAGCTGCGCACTTCACAGGTGGGTTGTGTTCAGTTATTGGTTGCAGTTTGAGTTCACTTTTGGGTCAACCTGCTTATTTACATGTTGATCAGATGAAAGTTAATCTGTGTGTTATTGAACTACATCTTTTGTTTGTTTAAAATTATTTTAAAGATAAAAATTGTAACTTATTTTTCCTAAACTGTGGCAGTTCTATGTCATTTGTGTGGAGTGTGTTATTCAGTACACTGTCTGCCTTTGGAATGAAACCTCCAGTCAAAAACAACAAACAGTCATGACCCCTCACAGGCAGCCTTCAAGTCTCAACTACAAACCAATTTTTTTTTCTCTTTAGCTTTTAAACCTGCTCAAAATGTTCTTTTTATTGCTATTCATTCTTAAATGTGATCTTATGTATGTGTGAAGTTTTGTATGCTATTTTTATTCTATTTGTTTTATTGTTGTGTAGCACTTTGGTCAATATTTGTTGTTTTTAAAATGTGTTTATAAAAAGAAACCCCACAAGTTTGTGGGTTAAAAAAAATCTCTACATGGATCCAAGTTTCTGTGGAAGATCATGTGATAACATACAAACAAAGGCAGGAGAGGGAATTGGTAAAGGATTCTTTGTATATGCAAAACTGGTGTTGAATGACGAGAAAACAGTTCAATATGGTGTTATCACAATTTTTAAACTTGCTAGTGTCTTACCTATCTGTATCAACCCAACAATCCAGTATTGTTCAGGATAGATTCAGTGTTTTTCACTTCAGCTGAAACTGGAATATATTTTTAATAGAAGCTTTTGATACAGGTTGGGGTGTAAATAGAGTATTTTCATTTTCAGACATCTTAAGATAATGATATGTGATGATTGTTTTATTATATTGCTGATTTGACAGATGTATTAAGTGACATGCTGCTACATGCACAAAGCCATATCCAAAATCTGCTAACTTTGAATAGCCATCAGTTGAAGCAGTGCAGCAAACTTTACTTCAGTTGACTGATCATCTGCATGTGTTTTTGTAGCCCCTGCATGACCCCAGCTACGGAGTGGTGGTGCAGGCAGTGAAGCTGAAGAGGGAGGTGGAGATGTATCAGTGGGTGGAGCACCAGGAGAGCAAGTGAGTCTGTTGTCTGCATGTCAACACTGAGGGTGGGGTCAGGTGTAAAAACCAGGGGTGGATCTAGAAATCTTTTGATAGGGTGGCCAGGCTGGTGCACAGACTCAGAGATGGGTGGCATGTTTGAAATACATGTAAAAAGGAAATAAAACCCCTAGTGTGTAAAAATGAGCAGCACCACATTATTAAGAATCAAATTGTTTTTTTGTGTAAAAATGAGACAAACTAGCAAACTACGGCTGCGCTCCTTATGTACTCCTGGCTGGGGAGGGTTAGGGTTGGACTTAACTAGCAGGGATGGCACCAGGGCTGGCCAATTACATTCTGCCACCCCGAAGATCTGCTCATGGTAAAAAGGCTGGCTGGAATACAGAATATTATTAGAGTGAAGTGAGTTGTTAATGTGCAATTAATTTCAGAGACTACCAAGAGAACGGTGAAACCAAAACTGAGACGACGTACACTTACAGTGAGTTGTGTTTATCTTGGTTGGTGTCAGGTGACCTGCTCAACTGTGTTTGAAGCTGTATACATTTTGACTGATGTAAAGTCCCTTGATTCCTTTTTTTTAGACACGGAATGGAAATTGGAGCTCGTCAACAGTCGTAATTTTGATAAAGAAATCGGTCATCAGAACCCAAGGTACTCAAGTAATCGTAAGATTATTCTGTTATGTTCTGTGGTATCTGAAATAATTTGTGTACTTCATGTTTAATTTAATCTTTATTTCAGTGCAATGGCAGTTCAGAGTGTGACAGTAGTATTTCCTGAAGTCAGAGCTGGGCCTTTCATCCTGTCTAAAGGTATCTGTCTAAACAATGACATAAACACACAACCTATTATAGAGCCTCTGTTTGTCAATGTTCACATTCATTCATTGACATATATATGACGGACATGGCATCTCCACTTCCCTCCACTATGTAAAAAT